ACAGGTAATTGTATTCAATATCTTATAATAACTTATAATAGAAAATAATCTGAAATATGTATACACACACATACATATATATATATATATGCACACACCCACACACACAGCCCTCCTGGTGACTCAGATGATAAAGAATATGCCTACAGTGCAGGAGACCTGGGTTCGATCTCTGGATCAGGATGATCCCCTGGAAAAAGACATGACTACCCACTCCAGTATTCTTGCCTGGAGAATTCCGTGAACCGAGGAGCCTAGCGAGCTCCATGGGGTTGCAGAGTCGGACAGGACTGAGCAACTAAGAGTTTCACTCATATACACACATATAACTGAGTAACTTTGCTCTACACCTGAAACTAACACAATTTTGGAAATTAGCTCCAGTTCAATTAAAAAAATTACCAAAACTGAAAGTTAACTGAAGTGTTCTTCAATAGATAGATGGATAAACACCAGTGATTCATCCATACAATAGAGCATTATTCAGCAATAAGAAGAAATGAACTATTTTGCCATGAAAAGACTTGGTATAATCTTAAATGAATATTGCTAAATGAAAGAAACCAATCTGAAAAGCTTCCATACTGTATGATTACAGTTATATGACATTATGGAAGGAATCACCATACTGTTCTATATAGTGGTTGCACCAATTTTATATTCCCACCAATAGTGTAGGAGGGTTCCCTTTTCTCCACACCCTCTTCAGCATTTGTTATTTGTAGATTTTTTTAAGGATGACCATTCTGATTGGTGTGGGGTGGTACCTCATTATAGTTTTGATTTACATTTTCAAGAGGAAAAATTTTTATTTTGTATATCCTTTTACTTACATGTGCTAGTTAAAAAAAAAAAACTTCTCTGCATATTATACCATTTGGATTCTATCAATTTGGATTTATTTTGACTTCTTTTGTTGTTAAGTATAGGTCACATGTTTCTGTTCTTTGGATATCTATGGAGTTTCTACTGCCTACCTGACATGAATGATACATGGTAGACACATTGAAGATTCCTAAGCAACAGTTAACTTGGCTGAACTCATACTACATACTCTGTCCCTCTGCAGTCAGTAGCTGACATTTCTTTCAGAGGTGTAGTTTCCACCATTTTTTTCCCCCCAACTAGTATCTCTGTGGTCTCTCCTGTGACTCTTAGTTTATTGGTCAGCCAAATTTCAGGGCAATATTGGTTGTCTGGGAAGATCCCTCGCAGGAGGGCGTGGCAAACCACTCCAGTGTTCTTGCCTGGAGAATCCCATGGACAGAGGAGCCTGGCGGGCTGCAGTTCATAGGGCCACACAGAATTAGACACAACTGAAGCAAGTTGGCACACATTGGTTGCATATTTTAGGACTTGTGCCCTACGTGGCTCTTCCCTTCCAAGCTCTTCTCAGTAGTTTTCTCTTTACTCTCCAAACCCTGAACACTGGCCTCTTATGATTCAGAGCAGTAAGGCATCAGTGTTCTGCTGTCCCAAGCTGCTATGCAGATTGGGGTTGTCCTCAGGAAATAAGTTAGAAATTCCTTAATCTCACCAGCTGCAATTTCTGTTTTTCCAGAGTAGACATCCTTCCAATTTCTTCCTGCTTTTGGTTTTCCTCCAGTGTCTCCAGAAGGGTTTTCTTCTTTTAAATAATTCTGTTCAAAATTTGAAACTTTAATCTTTGGATAGTTGGTCTATTCACGCTACTTACTCTATCATTATCAGATGGAACTATTTATGGAGGGCCAACAAAGTTTGACCCAGTTTAAAATGAGAAGTCTGTCCTGTTTCTTGCTCATTCTATTGCACAAATATTCATTTAGTGCTTATGAAGTGCCATGAGCTTTTCTTAGGTATTTATGAATGCTAACTCATTCCTTCCTTGAAAACCGCCCCTGTGAGAACTGCTGTTATTACTCCTATTTGCCAACAGAAAAATTGAGTTAAAGAGACGTTAAGTTACTTGCCAAAGTTCACACAGCTAGGTAAGAGGGTATATGCTCAATCCAGCTTAGTATGTAGCCCATTCATCTTCTTTTATTAAAAAAAAGGAAAAAAAGCAAGAATTGATGCAGGAATTCTATCCCTGAGATCATACCATAATGCTGCCCTTTATAGTATATGGGAGTAACAAAAGGGAAGACAAAATCAAGATATCCTTATTAATTTTACACCTCGTTTTGGTATATCATGTTTATTATCTCTCAGCCCCCGTTTACTACAATGTAATACTAGCTATTATATAAAGTAGGGTATGTGGAACAGCATAAAGAAGAAGAGAAATATCACTGTTGTAAATATTTTCATTCCTTTTAGCTGCCTAACTTGTGACCCTCCTTCGCTGTAGAGGTAAAAATGTTGGTTTCCCAACACTCCCTCCAGCTGGGGTGTGGGTGAAGGGCAGAAGCTTTTCTCCTGACTGGGATTTGAAGGCGAAGAAAAGCATGTGCAGAAATATTTTAGGGAGATTGTACAGAGAAAGGAAGATCCTGTTAAGCAGAGGAGGCTTGGAGCTAGCAAGCGTAGAGTATGAGTGTGAATGACTCACAGGCTTGTGAGGCTTCGGCATATCTGTCTTCCTAGATATGGCTCAGATTTCTCTCCTTCTGTTTCCTCCCCATGCCACTGCTGACTTCCTTTCTCACCTGCACTACCATGCCAGCTTCTTAACCTGCATCAACTTAAAAACTAGTCACAACCTACAAATTGAGAGTTATGTTTTATTTGGTGGAAATTTTTAGAACCTCAAACCCAGGAGACAGCATCTTGAGTGACTCTGAGAGAACTGCTCCAAGGAAGTGGGGCAGGAGTCAGGTTATATAGAAGTTTGCAATAAGGGGCAGGTAGTCTGAACACCAAAGATAATTGTTTATTTAGGAAAACCAGATATCTCAAGTTAAGGAATTTAGTGCGTTTCTATGTATGGGAAGACGCAAGGGTCTGGGCTTACTGAGATCATTCCTTTTATATGCTTCTTGGCTATCTGGAGTCAGTATCCTGCATTATTTTACATCCCTGCCCCTCTCCCCGGCTCCTCAGCGCTTGCAGGAGGGAGTGGCTGCAGCTCGAAGGCTGCTATGTAATAGACATTGTTCTTCCTGGCTGCCTTCCTGGCTCAGAAATTCACACTTGGAGGGCCAGAATCACTGATGACTGTGGCATCCTTGTTTATTGATATGTCAGGAAATATTCCATTTCTCCCTGGATCTAGTCTTCTTTCTCCGAGTTTCTATGAATGCCAGACTGATTTTCTGTGGCACAAATTAGATTATCTCACTCTTCTGCTTAAAAATGTCAATGATTCCTGATTTTCTTTGGAAAAATGTTCCATCTTCAGTGTGATTTGGAAGATGTTTTCATGATTTGACTTCAGTCATCCTGCATAGACCTTCCTTTTTTTAAAATTTGAATTAATTTATTTAATTGGAGGCTAATTACTTTACAATGTTGTGGTGGTTTTTCCATACATCAACATGAATCAGCCACAGTTAAACATCCTTGTTTATTGCCCCATACTGAATTCCCCTCCCACCACCCTCTCCAGAGCATTGACTTTGAGTGCCCTGCTTCATGCATTGAAGTTGCACTGATCATCTATTTAATATATGGTAGTATACATGTTTCAGTGCTATGCTCTCAAATCACCCACCCTTGCCTTCTCCCGCATAGTCCAAAAGTCTGTTCTTTACATCTGTTTCTTTTGCTATCTCTGCATAGACCTTTCATTCAGCCTTCCCATCTCGCACTTTATGCTCTAATCACATTTAACTGTTGGCAGCTACACAAACTGATCATGCATTTTCTTACTGTGCATTTAAACATCTCCCTTATCTTTAGATCCACAGTTCACATAATGTACATGATAAGCATTTACAAATATTTATTGAATAAGTGAACAGTACATGTTTACATGTTCTCTGATATTGAATCAAGATGAAAAGAAAGAATTTGCAAGACTCAAGCATATCCAAGAGGTGATGAAATTCAAGGCTATAATAATACTAATAATGATAGTAACATTATTACTGACAATTAGTAACAATAGCTAGCATGTACTGAACACTGTCTATGTATCAGACACTCTTGCCATAAGATACATTGTAATATCCCTTTAGTCCTAACCACAGTGCTCTGAGGTAACTACTACTATACCCATTAAATAGTAAAAAAAATCTGCGCATAGGCACAGTGTAGTTAAGTAACTTGCTTAAATTTATCTGGCCTGCCAAAGACGGAGACAAAATTTGAATACAATCAAACTAACACCAGAACCTGCGTGTTATACTACTTTGGAGCATACTTTCAATTCTGTGACATAAAAGAAATTCTGGATAACTTCTGTGATACAAAAGGATAAGGCATTTGTTTTGAAAAACTTGAGGAATTGTAATGTCAAGGTGTTAAATATTAACTAATCTGGATTTTTTTCTTATTACTTGTTAATTGTCTACATTCCCCTACTAGAAAGAAAACACCATAGGAGAAAAGGAACTTGTCTCTCTTTCACACTGAACACTAAGTCTCTAGAAAGTGTTTAGTATATATAGTAGGCATTTCATAAATATTTAAGGAAGGAAGTAAGGAAGAAAAGGATTACAAAGGATCTGTTAAAATTACAAAAGATCTGTTTGAGGCACTGCCCTTGTTTTACCAAATGTATTTTAAGTTCCTTAAGTGTATGTAATATTTTTTGCTTTTCCCATCAGTTAGCCTGGCATTGTGCATAGTAGGTGTTCAATAAGTAATTATTGATTGAGTGAAGAGTGGCAGAAAAATTAATGACTTAATGAAAGACTTGGAAGTGAGTACCTTTTCAGGTTATCTCTGCTTTTCAGCATTTTGGGCAACTTTACAACTCAATTAGTTTAAGAAAATTAATAATAATACAAACTATTTTGTCCATAGAAATGCAAATTAGTTGTGTCTGGTGGGATGTAACTGATTATTGATCAATTCTATTTTAGCATTCCTTGTCTCACTATATATATGTGTTCTTTGAATTCTTTTTTGAACAGGTTATGAAAACATACTGGTTCCCACATTAATTGGAATGCTATTCAGCCATGTAAAAGAATGAAATTTTGCCATCTGCAACATGAGTGGACTTGGAAGCTATTATGGTAAGTGAAATAAATCAGAGAGAGAGAGAAAAAAAAATACTGTATGGTATCACTTATACATGGAATCTAAAAAGTAAATAAACGAATGAACAAAACAAAGCAGAAAATGATTCACAGATATAGAGAACAAACTGGTGGCTACCAGTGGGGAGAGAGAAGAGAGGAGGGGCAAGATAGGGATAGGGAATTAAGAGGTACAAACTACTACATGCAAAATAAATAAGCTACACCGATATATTATACAGCCCAGGGAATATAGCCATATAATAAATAAATGGGGTATAACCTTTAAAAACTGTGAATCACTATGTTGTACACCTGAAACTGTGTATATAGTTGTTTAGTTGCTAGGCCCTGTCCATCTCTTTTTGCAACCTCATGGATTGTAGCCCACCAGGCTCGTCTGTCCAGGGGATTTCCCAGCCAAGAATACTGGAGTGGGTTGCCATTTCCTCCTCCAAGGGATCTTTCCAACACAGGCATTGAACTCACATATTCTTCATTGCAAGTGGGTTCTTTGCTGCTAAGCTGCCAAGGAAACTTCATGTATATGAATTGTACATCAACTATACCTCAATTTTAAAATTTTTAAAAATTGAGCTAAATAAAATATTTGATGCAGGATATTTTTATATCTATATGAGAGTCATGAATATACCCTCTTAAAAACTGTCCTTTGACAAGACGAAAAACATATATTTCTTTTCATTCATAATCATGTTGCTTCTTAGAAATGAACCATTGATGGAATTTGTGATATCTCTACATCCATTTAATTATGAGGATCCACTGTGAACAGTTGTGTTTGGGTTTTGTATTGTGTTGTCTTCCCAGTTGAGGCCCAATCTCTGTAAAGTTTCTCCTCTTTCACAACTTTTAAATAAGTGATAGGTAATTACTATCTTGCTAGATGTATTAGGCCTATCTGTCCACGAGGTGTCACCCTAATGTTTTAGGATGCAAAGAAAAGAGTAATCTTTCTTTTCTAAGTAGGTTATTTTGGGTAGTGGATATATAAATGGTCCCATCTCTTCATGGCAAATAGATGGGGAAACAGTGGAAACAGTGAGAGACTTCGTGTTTTTGGGCTCCAAAATCACTGCAGATGGTGACTGCAGCCATGAAATTAAAAGATGCTTACTTCTTGGAAAGAAAGTTATGACCAACCTAGACAGCATATTAAAAANCAAAGACTCTCTCCTGGATCAAAACCTAGTCCCTCTCTTCTAGTCTGACTAGAGGAGTAAGCTAGGCCTTTTCCTTGGGCCTTGTCTCTGGCCTGTTTCGTCCAGGTGTAGCAGGGAACCTACTAACTCAGTTTATCGGGAATCTTACGCCCTTGATATCTGATACTCTAACTTTCCTTCAGCAAGAGTCCTGTTAAATTGATTTTGCAAGAGTTCCCCTACACTTTATTCCTTTGGTTAATTTTCCATCCACTGACCTTTTCATTCTGCTCCTTAGCTATACATTTTCAGTTGTTTTTGGTATATTTGGAGTTGAGCCCAACCTGTCTCCTCTTTTGTGATAGTCTTGACAGCTATTGCGGTAGCTGATAAATGGTTCAGGACTTCCTTTACATTCTAACAAGTGTCAGACTAACACTTTAACACTTTTTTCTTTAACAATTATAGACAGAATTTCACAATCAAATCCCAGGACAGGGTCATCTCACAAATAAAACAATAGGTACTTTGCATTCATTAGTCTCTGTTAATACTGACAGTGTTTTCTGTTGTCAAAAATTAACAACCTTTCCTTATGCTCCAGTTTCCTCTTCTCTTAAGGATTCATTTGTCTTAGGCTTTAACTGGGGTGTGTATTTGTGTGTATGTGTGTGTGTATGTAATGAGAAATTAGGATGGGCTTCTTCATCAGAGGTTTTCACCACATTCCAAAATTTGTACTTTGATGCAAATGATACCAAAGATAACATGTAATTCATTTGTTTATAACAGTTCATTCATTAAGGAAAAAAAGGAAGTAAAAAAAAAAACCAAAACAAAAAAGAAGGAAGTACATATGGATAGAGAAGTCCAATGTCTGTAACATCTACTGTATCAGGTAATTTAGATGTCTGATTTAGATGTTGATTAAATTCTCTTGAGTTTTTTGACGTTTGCTTCAGATCCATAGGAAACCCAATCCATATAAGTTTAAGAAAGTTTAGGTAATTTGATGAAGTAGGAGCTTCGTTTGTCTTTCTCCAAAACCTGGGCTATAATATTCACTTCTCTTTTTGCCAGCTACATACAGTAGGCAGGGAACTAAAGTAAATTGACTTTGACTTATTGTGATTTAGTAAAACATCTGAAATGGAAAATTTATAAATCTTTATTTTAGAGGGAAAACTTGTATTGTTTGGTGGCCCAGATAGTAAAGAATCTGCCTGCAATGTGGGAGACCCAGGTTTGATCCCTGGTTCAGGAAGATCCCCTCCAGAAGGGGATGGCTATCCACTCCATTATTCTTGCCTGGAAAATTTCATGGACAGAGAACACTGGTGGGCTACAGTCCATGGGGGTCAGATGTGACTGAATGACTAACATTTTCACTTGTATTATTTGGGCTTCCCTGGTGGTTCAGATGGTAAAGAATCTGCCTGCAATACGAGAAACCTGGGTTCAGCCCCTGGGTCGGGAAGGGTCTCTGGAGAAGGGAATGGCTACCCACTCCAGTATTCTTGCCTGGAGAATTCCATGGACAGAGGAGCCTGGCGGACTACAGTCCATGGAGTTGCAAAGAGTCAGATATGACTAAGTGGCTAACACTTTCACTGTATTGTGTAGAGCAATGATTCTTTTTTTTTTAGCTATGATTCTTATATTGATATATATTAACTGGGGTTTTTGTTCTTACCATAGATTATAACACAGTTAATTATATATAAAATTATCTAGCAAACATGTGCAAAGTAACTATGCAGTCCCTAATTCTCTAATAGAATTCATTACCTGTCTTTCTATTACTATACCAGAGGGGGCCACTAGGTGTCGATCTGACACAGAAATGATCTAAAAAGGCCCTTAGAAAACAAGTAAGTTAACTGTCAAGGTAGAAAGATGCTGTATTTTGCCTTCTCCAGTATATAGGTGAATTTTATGTTTACTTAGCTCTTTGCTATCCATCTGCCTGGAGAAATACTACAATTATTTTACTGAAGTAAAATTATTTTACCACCAAGAGAAATGTAATAAATGTCTTGATATCCAAAGTAGGGTTATTTTATTTCTTACAGATGTAATACAAAAATATAAATTTTTTTTAGAACAGCGATAAAAAGAAAATCCTTGGGTGTAACAAAACTATGCAGAACACATATGAGGGAAACTTTATAGTAGTCTTGAAAGACATAACAATAAACTTCAGCAAGTTAAAAGCCTCCTTTTTGGATGTGATGTATCAGTGACATGTGGATGTCAACACATGCATTTAATACTATCCCAGTTGAAATACTACAAGTATTTCTAGAGCAATATAGATAAATTCTAAGATTCATATAAAAAGTAAATTTACATGAAAAAAAACATGAAAATTCTTTTGTTTATTTATTTTATTAAAAGGAAAGAATAATGAGGTGGCCTAATGCTGTGCTTAGGAGCTCAGCCATGTCCAGCTCTTTGCGATTCTTTGGAATATAGCTGGCCAGGCTCCCCTGTCCATGGGAATTCAGACAAGAATACTAGAGTGTGTTGTCATTTCTTCCTCCAGGGGATCTTCTGACCCAGGGATCAGATTCACGTCTCCTGTGTCTCCTGCCTTGCAAATGGATTCTTTACCCGCTGGGCCATCAAGGAAACCCCATCAGATATTAAAGCATACTATAAAGCCTCTTTCTCATGGGTTGGGAAGATGCCCTGATGGAGAGCATGGCAACCTACTCCAATGTTCTTGCCTGGAGAATCCCCTTGAACAGAAGAGCCTGGCGGACTACAGTCCGTGGTACTGCAAAGAGTTGGACATGACTGAGCGACTAAGCACACTTAAAGGCTCTATAATTAAAACATATGGTGTTGCGGATGGTAGATAGACTAATGGGGAGAACATCAGATATCAAATCAAGAAAAAGACCAAAGTTTGTACAGAGGTATATTATATATGTGATCACTCAAACTCTGAGGAAAAAGATGGGCTTTTAAATAAATGGTATTGTGACAACTTGATGGTCATTGGATCAAGCCTTATTTCATGCACAAGAATAAACTCCAGTGGATCAAATGTATCAATGAAAAAATATCATAGAAGTCAAGAAAACCCTAGTGATTCTTCTTAAACTTTATAACTAAGATAAACTCTTGAATGTGAATTCTTCCCTATGGTTAAAAATTCAGATAAAATAAACGATAGATGAGTGCGATCCCAAAGTATGCTTTTCATGTCAAAAAAGAGTCATAGGTAAAAGAAAATTACAAATAACACACTGGGACATAGTATTTGTAAAAGGATAATTGTGTATATTTTTAAGGTATAAATTTTATTTAGAAAAATTTTAAAGACCAAAACCAGAAGAAAAAAGACCGAACCTTCCTGTGGAATGCTGGACAAAAGGTATGAGTACAAAGTTCATTTACAAATATTAACAAATAGTCCTTAAATATATAAAATATTTTCAACTTCATAACAAGGGAGAGGCAAATTAAAACACCACCAACGTATCATTTTCAAATAGCAAGAAATAAAAAATTTGTGCACTTTGCTAGCAAGGGTGTAGAGAAACACTCATATTGCTGGTAGCAATAGTGGAACCCATATAAAAGTAGTGGAACCCTTATAAAGGGGAACTTGCCAATGTTAGGATGCAGTCTCAAAAATGACAGAATGATCTCTGTTCATTCACAAGACAAATCACTCAATATCATGGTAATCCAAGTCTATGCCCCGACCAGTAATGCTGAAGAAGTTGAGGTTGAACGGTTCTATGAAGACCTACAAGATCTTCCACAATTAACACCCAAAAAAGATGTCCTTTTCATTAT